TCAAATATGGGCCGTGACACGGCCACCAGGGAGAGGAAGAGAAGCCGCCAGGATCCTTTGTAGGATGGGGACGTCGGGTCGCACAGGGGGGCGGCCCAATGATGCCGGCAGATCTACAGGGGCGAGGCCGGCGGGAGGAGAGGAAGAAGACCACGTTAGGGATGGAGGCAGTAGGCAGGGCCAGGAGGGACTGAGAATCGCCATTGCTTCCGGGCCCAGGTCACGGCGTGGGCACATTTCTGACCCATCAGCTTCAACGCGGCCCCTTCTCCACCCCTTACTCTCTCCTCCCTTCCATAAGCCACGTCTCTTCAATTCCATCACCTTCCCCCTCAGCCTCATCTGGTGCCTTTTCGTCCTCATTATTTCTCCTTCACTTTCTTTTTCTCACCTCGGGATAGAAGGAGGGCGACTGATCCAAAATACTCCTCCACGTGCGGCAGACCCCCTGAAAGTTTGCAACGTCCTGCAAGGCACACAACCAGGAAATCTGAAGGTGGATTGACTTATGGTTGAGTGCATTTAGATTTATCTATTGTCAAGTTTCAGATCAGCTTGCAATGCTATTGAGGACATGCAAGATTAAATCATCGTCTGCGACGCCTGGGGAGGTTCCCCCGCTGACGCGTGACTTGCACGTTTTTTTCTTCCACCCTCATTACTTTTTTATGTCCTGCGACCAACGAAGCCATTCAAGTACCTATACACGCCGTCCGTCTATCTTACATGATGCACCATGATGCACGCTTTGACCAATGCACTGTTTAAACCTATAGACATCTTTTTTGTATGCCCCTTTTGTATGCCCAAGACGAACCTGATGCAACAGGTCTATCGGTAATGTTGCCCAACCTGTCGCTTGTCCTGGTTCCGAATGCGCCAACGCCATGACCTACACCAGATTTAGCCCAAACGTTCCCTGAATCGTTGGAGATCTGGGGAAAAGGATGCGTCTGTGAGAAAAATGCGACCTTTTCGCTGCGGGATTTTGCCAGGTATTTTTGCTCACAGTTTAGGACAAGAGGGCGTTCCGATCCGTTCCGATCCGCTCAATGTCGCATCGCTAAAGAAATCTGATAAAGGCATCGTCTACTTGAGAAATTTTTCATAAAAGCTCCTAGCAATTCGCAAATGGTGGTTATACGAAAAACTTCGTATAAAGTGCATATACACAAAGGCTATAGTCTATTTGTTCCTCTATCTGACAGAACCATAAGGCCAATTGCCATGACAAGATCTGCCATGACAAGATCTGGGTCCTCTCCTTTAAGGAGGCATTTCTTGGTGTTGAAGGCTGAGAAACGTGTGGTCATAAATTGGTATTGGCTGCCAATTCGACCGCAGCATCGCATGTTGCTAAATCTTTGCGATTACCAAGCCATAATCTGTCACGCGACACATCTCATGTTCATCAGTCGTACTTAATGCTTTTAACAACAATTGGCAAATAAAATGATGTATTTTGTCTTGCATGACAAAAGAATGTTGTCATCTCCCTCAATCTGCTCCGGATTTCCGGACGGATTCTTTTCCATTAATGCCTCCCATTCCCTCAACTTCTCTTCTAGTTCTTCAAGTACATCTTTAACAATGCGTACAGTGCCGTGCACTCATTATCGAGCCATGCGAAGGCATTGATAGGGTTGCCTCTGATAGGAAAGGGGTGAATGCTTGATTGGGTGCTTGTTATCCCATTAAAATTTATTTTCTTTTTTGGTGTCATCTTCGCTAAGAGACATTCGTTCATTTGGCCTTCTAAGCGTGTCTTCTGCGTCGAAATTCATAGTAAAAGGACCTTCAAGAAACGATGCTTCTTGAGAGTCGCATCCTTCGCACTCATCACTTTTCTGATTCCTATTCGCGCACAAGTATTCTGTCATCGTGTCTGCTCGCGTGGTAATGGGGGACGAGGAGCATTCAACCTCAGATGTTGTTCTACGCGCCCCATTTCCGATATCCAAGAGCATTTTAAGCTCTTCCGCACGCGTCATGTAGCCATGAATCTTCATCTTCAATGCGTCTCGCGCAGTGGCCGCCTTCTCCAGCTTTAACCATTCCATTAGATGTACAAGACTTTCCTTATAATGGAAAAAGGCCCGGCGCCTTTCTCCTGCCCTGTCGGCTTTGACTGCTTTAGAAGAGTGATCAATGGCTCGTGACTGCAACGCAAGCATTATATACGCTCTTTAAAATGCCTAATTGTGGGGGATTGGGCATCGGGTCGTAAGGAAGTCGGAACATAAATGGGAAGCCGACAGACCCTGACTTGAAAATGCAAAATGTCAAGAGTTACACTTCAGAATTGTAAAGAAGGAAAACTTGAAATTTGATCTGTCTTTTTTTGCTCGAAGACTTAATCACGACAAAATTGCTACAGCACACAATCATTCCTCGCTGCGTTGCAATAGAGCGGAAAGAAACAAAATGACAACAGAAAAAATCTTGATATGACGCAGCGGCTGCGTTTATGACCGGAATTTGCGGTAAGAGGCTAAGGAAGGTTATCAAAATTAGGCGTTCTACCCCATTTCTTTCATTTGCAGGCATTTAAGAAGCATGGAGCATAAATCCTATGGAGAATAGCTCCGTTGCTTCTTGGAGTTTGTGTTTCCCCCGTTCCGATCTTCCCGTGTCACACATTGCAAAGCTTTTTAACCGCCCACAGAAAATGGAAATTTGTCAATTGTTCTTCACGACAATTTGCATTAAGACGAATGAAAATTGCTTTCAAGAATATGCCCCGTCTCTCGTCATTTTCTGGTCAACGCGAGGCTGCTCGTTTCCGTCTCGGCGTCACTGCCGCTTTTGGTTGGATTCCATACTTCTGTACAGCGTCCTCCTTTGGCTCATCTCCTTTCCCACTCCTCCTTCCCCTCTTACAATCATGATTTTTAAAAGCAATTGCCTCCACCCCTGGGGCCTCCTC